CAACTAAGCCCACGTGCCACAACTACTGAGCCCACGTGCCACAACTAGAGAGAGAAAACCCACACGCCCCAACTAGAGAGCAGCCCATGTGCCATAACTAACACCCGATGCAGCCAAAAATAAAAATAAATAAATTTTTTAAAAAGTGCATTAAGGGCTTCCCTGGTGGCGCAGTGGTTGAGAGTCTGCCTGCCGATGCAGGGGACGCAGGTTTGTGCACCAGTCCGGGAAGATCCCACATGCCGCGGAGCGGCTGGGCCCGTGAGCCATGGCCGCTGAGCCTGCACGTCCAGAGCCTGTGCTCCGCGGCGGGAGAGGCCACAGCAGTGAGAGGCCCGCATACCGCAAAAAATAAATAAATAAATAAATATTAGTCTCTCTTAAAAAAAAAAAAAAAAAAGTGCATTAAAAAAAAAAGAATGGCTCACAGAGTTTAGACAGGTCTGCCTGGGCACCAGTTCTTAAACTTGAGCAAGGGTCTGAATTACCTGGAGAGTTCATTTAAACACAGATCGCTGGGCCACTACCCCAGAGTTTCTGAATCAGTAGGTCTAGATATGACTTAAGAATTCACATTTCTAACAATTTGACAGGTGACGCTAATGCTGCGGTCTGGAGACCACATTTTTTAGGCTCACTAGTCCCGGAAGATAGTATAAACACTAGTTCTCAACCCTGCATGCACATTGAGAATGTCAGCAAAGACAAGGGAGGGAGTGTTTCAAGTTTGATCGAGTACTCAACAAGTCCAAATGCTGCTCAAAAGTCCAGTGAGATGGGGAATTCCCTTGCGGTCTGGTGGTTAGGACTCGGGCGCTTTCACTGCCGTGGGCCCGGGTTCAATCCCTGATCGGGGAACTAAGATTCCACAAGCTGTGTGGCACCCCCTCCCCCAAAAAAATCCAGTAAGATGAGAGTGCAAATAAATATCCTCTGGATTAGCAACATAGAAACAATTGGTGACAGTAAGAAGGTAGAGAGAAGGGAAGATCAAATTAGAGGGGATGAGAAGCAAAGAAGGAGAAGCAAGAGCAAAGAACAGTGAGTGCGGATAATATTTAGGTTTGAGAAGTCTGGCTGTGAATCCTGTGAAGAGGAAGAAAAATAGTGTTGTGGTGGGAGGCGAGGTGGAATGCGAGCAAACAAAAGCATTAAGGTCAAATCACTGAGACCAAAGCATCGCCTTCTTCCTTGAATTAAAAAAAAAATTAAACCACCAATTCCCCATCTGAAGATGAGCTGTATTTCAATAGTTGCATCTTAAAGATCTAACGAGTCTTCAAAAATCAAAAGGATGTTGTGACCAGATTTGACAATTATGAATAAAGCTGCTACAAACATTAAAAAAAAAAAAAAATCGAAAGGATGGACTTTTTTTTAAAGGATGGACTTGGGGCTTCCCTGGTGCCGCAGTGGTTGAGAGTCCGCCTGCTGATGCAGGGGACATGGGTTCGTGCCCCGGTCCGGGAAGATCCCACATGCCTCGGAGCGGCTGGGCCCGTGAGCCATGGCCGCTGAGTCTGCGCGTCTGGAGCCTGTGGAGAGGCAGGGAGAGGCCACGACAGTGAGAGGCCTGCGTACAGCAAAAAAAAAAAAAAAAAAAAAAAAAAAGGATGGACTTTAATTGTGGATACTCTGGCATCTTGGAGAAGAATGGGTAAGTCTACTGAAGCACAAGCTTCTTCCCTGACATCACAGGTCTTGGGAAGTTGCCATTCTACTAACTGATAAAATTGGCCCCCATATTCATTTATTTCATTAATCATGATTCATTCCTTAAACATTTATCAAATACCTATTATGGGCTAGACACTGTGCTAGGCTCTGGGATTAAAGTGGTGAATGATAAGAGGGAACTACAGTGGTAATTAGAAGAGTGTTGGAGAAATGCAGGGAGCTCTAAGAATCTATACCATGGGATCTAACACAGGGGAAACAGGGGAGGAGGCCTTGAATGAGTGGTTGTCAGAAAGAGAGCTGAATTCCATTTATATGAAACGTCCAGAATGGGCAAATCTGTAGAAGCAGAAAGTATACAGATTAGCGGTTGCCTAGGGCTGAGGAGCTGGGGAGGAAGGGAGAGTGACTGCTAATGGCAAGAGTTTCTTCTTGGGGTTACGAGAATGTTCAAAAATTGACTGTGGTGATGACTGCACAACTCTGCATATACTAAAAAACACTGAACTGTAACACTTTAAATGGGTGCATTGCATGGTATGTAAATTATATCTCATAATGTTCATGTATTTTGTTAAAAAAACAAAATTCATCTCAGTAAATTTGAAGATCTAATTCAGTTTATTCGATTCCTGAATCAGGTAGCATCCCATCTAGCAATGAGAAGTGTGCTCTGAGGAGCTGTACAAAATGGGAGGTTTTATAGGAAGAAGTGGGGGGCAAGGGATGTTTAATAAAAGAACAGAAAGGATTATTTTTAGGCCAGGACACCTTCTTCTGTGGGGGGAAGTGACAGCAAGGGTTTCATCATGCAGACTGCATCTTCTTCCTGGGGCGGGATGAGGTGGGGAATGGAGAGGGTCCCTGTGACAGATTATTATTATTGCTGACCAGAAACTTCCAAACTGGCTGATTAAGATTACATTCCCGGTAAAGGTCGAAACTGCAATTAGGTCAGGTATTAAATCTAGGTTTGGTACCATGGGCTTTAGCAAAAGTGACACCATTTGGGCTTGTGGTTTTTCTCTTTATTTTATTATCATTATTATGTTAATTATTTATTTTTGTCTGTGTTGGGTCTTCCTTGCTGCGCATGCGGGCTTTCTCTAGTTGCAGGGAGCAGGGGCTACTCTTCCTTGCGGTGCACGGGTTTCTTCACTGCAGTGGCTTCTCTTGCAGAGCACGGGCTCTAGGCTCATGGGCTTCAGTAGTTGTGGCACATGGGCTCAGTTGTGGCCCGTGGGCTCTAGAATGCAGGCTCAGTAGTTGTGGCACACAGGCTTATTTGTTCTGTAGCTTATGGGATCTTCCCAAACAAGGGCTCGAACCCATGTCCCCTGCATTGGCAGGCAGATTCTTAACCACTGAACCACCGGGAAGCCCTGGTTTTTCTCTTTAAATACATATATTATGTAGAAGAGATGTGTGGATTGAGAGGAATTAGATAAGGAACAATGTATACATATACAGAGGGAGTAATGTGTGCACTGGAGGAAAGAGTGTGGCATTTTAGAAGATGTGAAAAAAAAATCTGCATCTGGCATGTTCCTTGAAAGAGTATAATGAGAGTTGAAGCTGAAGCTATGTATTGAACAGGCCCACATTTGTAGCTGTGAAAGCCATGGTAAAAGTTTGAGATTTTATCCTAAAAACAATAGGAAGCCATTGTTGTGTGATAAAATCACTATGCATTTTAACTCCAGCTACCATGCAGAGAGTGAAGAGAAGGGGGGGGTATATTCGGGAAACCAGGTAGGTGGTATTACAGTTCTCCGGGTACAAGGTATTGGTTGGTGTCTTAGATTGTTAATGCAAGTTCGTGTGCCCGATGCACAGTGAGGCCAAACAAACAAACAAACATCGGGGCCATGCAAGATGAGGAGGCTCATGCCCTAAAAAGCCCGGAGCTCCCCGAAGGTCGGCAAAGCACTTTTAAAAGCCAGGGTGGCAGGGGGAGCCTCAGGGTATGTGATCAGCTTATCAGCTTATCAATTCTCTGATTGTCTGATGGTGAGGTAGCAGGGTGGTGTCACAGGGGTTAACTTTATCAGTCCTTAGGCTCCAAGAGGCCTGGGGCTATGTGATCAAGGTTAGCATCTTCCATTTGTTGGAGAGGGGGTTTTTTTACATCTGCAAAACAACTCAGGAAATGTGCATTAAATCCACTATTATCTAGGTACTTCAGAGAGGAGCTAAAGCAGAGGATCTGGGGGAAGGCCTGTCCTGGGAAGGGAAGGCCCCATGGGGTCCTGCTTGGTTACAAGATTAGGATGGTGGTCGTAGGAATGGACGAATTCAGCAGGACTTGTTGATGGGTTGGAACTGAGATGTGGTAGAGTAGTGAAGTAGCCAAGCTGACATGCTCAACTGGATGGATGATGAAATGGGAATACCAGAAGAGGTGCAAGTTTCAGGGTTGGGGAGTAAGGCTAATTTTGTTAATATAGTTGGAATGATCTAATAGGGGAGCAAGGCTGCTTTGTGCAGTAGTGAGTTCTCCTCTATTGGAATTATCCGAGTTGGACTAGAGATCTTTCAGTTAAGTGTCCAGTGTTCTTGCTCTGAAATAAGTTGTGGACTAAGTAACTAAGTTCCCATTCAGCCCTTATGGTCTACCACAAGCGAGTGCCATCTCTGCCAGAATTTGGCCCCCCGAACAGCTCAGGGCTGAAATAAAACGCTCTTCGCCTGGAATTTGAATTCCTCAGAATCACCTACACCAGGTTAATAATTAAAGGTTCCTCATAACTGTCTCCGTTTGTTTGTTTCACCTGTGTGCAGGATTCTGGTTTCATAAAATCCTCCCAGCAGTATTATTTAACCTAGTGTGGAAAAAAGGTGTATATATTCCGCCAACCCAAGGGCAAGTCTCTACTAGCCCAGGAGAAAGTGGGAGGCTGCAGATGCCACAGAAAGTGACCCTGCCCAAAGCCAAAACAGAGGAGAGGACTCCTACACAGTTAATCTTTTTATATCTTCTCACACCCTATCCAACCATCTAGCCCTGTGCCCTTAGGGTCCCACAGCCATTGGGTGGTTAATTTATCCTCCAGTCCCAGGGAGGGGGTGGGGTGAGAAGATGATAATTTTTAAATATAAAATGAAAAACAGAAAAGTACAAAAAGGGAGGAAACGGAGAAAAGACAAGAGAGTAATACAAGAAAAGCTGTATTTTGTGCCAGGGCTGCCACCTCAATCCCCTGGGAAGCAGTAAGGACTTGCCTAGAGGTCCCTTATCGACTCTCCGATTAAATGCCCTACGAGAGGTCCGCGGGATTTGTTTGACTGTTTTATTCCCACCCTGATTCTTCTCCAGGTATTACCTTGTGCACCTGCTCTAACACACACCAGGCCCTTCCTGAGACTTGCTCTGTCGCTGCCGTTCCCCTTCCAGGGTAAGCATTCCGCCTTCTTTTTCTTCTCCTTCTTCAAATCTCAGCACAAACTTTCTGGACCTCATGCGCATCTTCCTGACTTTCCTCATCTCTGAAATGGGAATGATAAAAATGATGGTGGGAATAACAGCAAAACCTACGTATTACGATTGCTGTTGGGATTAAACATTATATATACTTGAAAATCTGTTGGAAACCGCAGAAGACTATACAATTTGACGTTGCTTTTTATGGCCTTTATTTCTCACGTAGATTTCAGTGGCTAGAAAGAGGGGGTGCTAGGGTGCTGGGGTGCTTGTCTCTCAGTGAGATCAATGCAAGACGTTGCCAAGTGTTTCAGAAGAAAACGCCACTCTACTTCAGACGGGGTGCCGGCCACCTTGAACAAAGCCCTTTGGAGAAGTTTTTCCGTGCAAAACCTGAAGGCATGGGAAAACACAGCATGCAGCTGAGGAGCCCCCGGGCGCTGCAGGCCGCACCCCCTTGGCCCCAGCGCGGCCGGCCGACTAGCCTGGGGCGCGCTTCTGCCAGCCGCCCAGGGCGCCCCTCCGGGCCACCGAGCCCCGTCCGAGCGCTCGCCCGCCGGGCCGGGGACGCTAAGGCTTGGAGTCCCGGAGTTTTAACACTTCACGCGATTTTGCAGTTGACCGAGAACTCTCAAGCCCCCCGCATACTCCCTCGCCGGAAAGTCAAGTTAGTGGAGGTGGAACCAAATGAGACTCCAGGTGTGAAAGGAACAGCCATATTTGGGGAGCGGCTCTAGGTGACCCCGTGTTGGGGGAATAAGATGGATTTCTCCAGTCATTTCAAAACCGCACCTCCCGCCGGGTGGCCCAGGGAAATTCTAGAACAATCCTCGGGCGCCGAGAGGACGCCCCGGGCTGCAGAGGCCGCAGGGAGCCGGACACCGGCCGGGCTTGGCTGCCTGCGGGGAGGCGGGTGCGGGAGCCGGCGGCGCACGGCATCCTCACCTGTCCGGGGCCGCCTCTCCGCAGGCCTCAGTTTCCGCGTGTGAGAAATGGGCTGACTACCAGCTCACCCTCTCACCGAGAGAAAGCATCTGGGGTGTTCCGGTTCAGCGCCGCTACAGAAACCACTCGAGAAAACAGGAGTTTGTTTCGGTTTTAGTTCAAAGAAGGAAAAAAAAATGCAAGAAGCGTGCACCGTGCGCAGAAATGCTTGTCAAGGTTAGCGGGAAGCCGGCTGAGCAGACGGGCAGAGGAAGGGCGAATTGGCCAGGGCCTAGGCGGCCTGTGAAGGTAACTCTACACGTGTTCACGAAGGCATGAAGATGCACGGCTCCTGTCAAAACCCGCGGGTGCGTCGGGAGACCAAACTCGAGCGACGGCGACCGGGAGCAGCGTCCTCTGCGCCTGCGCAGTACCCGCGTTTCCCCGCCCCGAGCTCGCGCCCCGCCCCCGAGCTCTCTCCGCCCCGCCCACTTGCCCTCCCCCTCCCCAGCCCGGCCGCCCGCGCAGAGCATTGTGGGACACAAACAAAGTGCCCCCAAACAGGCTGGAGTGAGCGGAGCGGCAACCGCGGCGGCGCCGGCCCGCACGCGCGCGGCGGCGGCTCCCTCCCAACCTCCCCTCCCCTCCCCTCACTCCCCTTCCCCTTCCCCACCCCGCCCCGCCGGGAAAACGCGAGCCGTCGCCTCGCTCCCCAAACCGCCGCCTGCCCTCGGCCAACCGCCCCCAACGGCCGCCCGCGCGCGGCTCACCGGGCCCCCTCGCTCCTCCCCTCAGGCCCCCAGAGCGCTCCCCTCCCGCCGCCTCGCACTCTCCCACCTCGCAGGCACGCCGCTGCTCGGGGCCGCCATGCCCCTGCCGCAGGCTGTCCACGGGCCTAGGCGCGGCGGCCCGAGATAGGGTCTCCTCCGCCTCCCGGGGGAGGAGAGAGGGAGCGGGCCGTGCGCTCCGCCCCCTACCCCCGGGCTGCCGCCGCCACCGTCGCCACCACCCCCTCGCCGCCTCAGCCTGGCGGGGAGGAGGAGGAGGAGGAGGAGCAGCAGGCCTCCGGGCCCTGGCACCGCCGCCCGCAGGTAACGGGGAGGGGAGGGCAGGGCCGGCCCCTCTTCGCCGCCCGCGCCCTCGGGCGCGCCCTCCGAAGGGCTGACGCCGTGCGTCCCCCATCTGGGCGCTGGACGGAAGGGAACGCCTGGTCTCCTCACCCCCCTCCGCGCCGGGAGACACCCCGCAGGGTCCCCTCAATGGCATCTGAGCCTTCGGGAAGGAGACTGGCCTTGGGTCCCGCCGTCCAGGAGAAATTGCCCCGATCTCCCAGGACGCCCCGCATCCGCACGCGTGTGTGCCCAGCACCCTAACCCCGAGGACGCGGAGTGTTAGCGTCTCACCTGGTCGAGCCCGCAGCGCGAGACCCACTGTTCCCTCCTCTCCCCTGCTGCTTTTTTTCTCTGGTACTGGGAAGAAAAGGTTGGCACTTACTTAAAAAACAAAAAATGAAAACCTTTTTTTGTTTCCTATCTGGGGATCAGTCTGCATCTAGTCATTTTCTGCTGGCCTAACCAGAAAAGGGTTACCTGCGAGTGAAATGACGAGTACGTTAGAACTGATGAAAGGAAGCATGCTTGTGAGTTGTATGAAGGTTAACCAGAATTTAGAGTAAAGCCCAGTAAGTCTGCTTTATTGGGACTGACTTATAGAAATGAAGGCCAGAACTTACATTTTTTTCCACGTATAAATAGATTTTCTGTTGGTTAGGAAGACATTCTCTTTAACTTCCACTTATTTTCTTACTGTTTTATTCGAATAAGCGGCTAATACCAAAAGCAGACTTCACAATTTGATAGATACCAGTTGTTTGGGTAGGTAGTTTTTTTTTGCCTAGAGTGTTTCGGTCGGAATTATTGCATTTAAAAAAAATATTATGTAAATCTTCATTTATACAGTTACCCCCATTACTTCACTTTCACTGCCAATGGATATTTAATTTTACCTAATGTAGCTTCCTAATCATGGAATGTGGCAATAGTGAAAGGAATGTTTTCCTGTAGTCTTGTATTTTAGGATGATTGCATTAATTATGAAAACCAGATTTACTTATTGTGTGCAACACTGCTAGGCATTTTACATATCTGATGTGATTTTATTCTCAGAACAACCTAATGACTTAAGATATTATTACTTGAGTTTTACAGATGAGACAAACTCAAGGGATATTAAGTAACTTGCTTTAAAAGGCCACACAACTAGTTAGTGATAGAGGTGAGATTTGTATCCAGATATAATTCCAGTGTAGATGTGTTTTCTACCATTCCTCTCAGTACAGGTACACTTTTTTTAAACTTAATTATGAAAAATGTCAGTCTCTTTGAAATTGAGGGAAAAATGCAGTGAACACCCCAGTACCTAGATTCAGTGATTGACATTTTTGCCATTTCCCGCCTCTCCTCCCTTTCTGTGTGTCTCAATATGTAATCATTTGAAAGTAAATTGCAAACTCCATGACACTCCAGTATTTCAGCATGGATTCCTAAAACTAAGGACATTCTAACCCCAGTATCATTATCAACACCTTTCTAAATTAACAATCCATATGCAAATTTCCTTAGTATGCCAAGGTCTCTTTTGGGAAATCTACCCCTACCCCCAGCATTGCATTTGTTGATTACGCCTCTAGTCCTTTTTTAAAAGAGGAGTACCCATCTTTTTTTATTCTGACAATTAACCAAACCACTTGCTTTATAGAATGCTCCCACTTCTGGGTTTGTCTGTTTCCTAATGGTGTCATTTAATTAATTCCTCTATCACCCTGAATTTCCTGTTACTGGAAGTTAGGTCTAAAAAAAAGCTTGAGTAGCTTAAGGAAAACTTTATTTGGCAAGAATATTTAATAGATGATGCTGTGTACTTCATGTTATGCCATTTAGGAGGTATTTAACGTCAGATTGCCACACTGTTAAGGATACTAAATGTGACCACTTGATCAAAGTGGTGACTACCAGATCTGTTATAAAGATGTGGTTTCCCTGTTTGTGATTTGTACGTGATCTTGGAGTAGTTCCTTGACACCAAGCAAATACCTGTTTCTGCCTACCCTTTGCTCAGTGATTTTAGCACCCATTGATGACTCTTGCTTAAATCAGTTATTTTATTGGAGATTTTCTGTCTGGAAGATTTCCTTCATTAACTAGGAGTGAACTAAACTTCCTCCTAAAAATGCTAATGTCCTCCCTCCAGTTATCAGTATTCAGAGTAAAGAATACTGGGGCAATAGTCACCCCCAATGGTGGCAAATAAGGGTTTTTTTTTTTTTTTCTTTTTTATGGGGATAACTGTAACGAGCAGGGCCCCATGGGGCCTTCCCAGGAGGGCCTTCCCCCAGATCCTCTGCTGTGGCTCTTCTCTGAAGTACCTAGATAATAGTGTTTGATGCACATTTCCTGAGTTGTTTTGCAGATGTAAACCTACCCCCCTCCAACAAATGGAAGATGTTAACTCCTTGGCGACCTTGAGCACATAGCCCCAGGCCTCCTGTTGCCTAAGGACTGATAATGTTAACCCCTGTGACACCACCCTGCTGCCTCACCATCAGACAGTCGGAGAATTGTGCACAAGCTGATCACATACCTCGCAACCTCCCTCCCTCACCTGGCTTTTAAAAGTACTTCGCCAGCCTTCGGGGAGCTTGGGGCTTATTAGGGCATGAGCCACCTCATCTCCTTGCATGGCCCTGCAGTAAACCTTTCTCTGCTCCAGACTCCGACGTTTCAGTTTGTTTGGCCTCACTGTGTGTCAGGCACATGAACTTGCGTTAAAAGTTTCGCTATGGACTCATGGATTTTAATTTATTTATTTATTTTTTATTAATAACCATTACAGTCGTTTTTCTTCTTGATCTAACTGTCCCAAATTTGGACAGTAGGAACCTTTTCAAGCTGTCTCCTGTGTCTTTTTACTGCTGGGAGTGCTTTCTGGCACAGGATATCCCAGGCTTGCCTTGTTACTTTCCTCGTTTCAGATCTGGAATGGGCTGTTAATCTAAGGAGTCTTGGTTCTTTGTAGTGAGAAACAGTGTATAGACACCAAGATCTAGATGTTTGGCATATTCATTGCTGCTGGAGTGTCACTATTTCTAGGCCCTTTCAGAGGGGAGAACTAAAAATGGTTTTTTGCTTGTGAATCAAGTTCTTAGTGATATATCCAATTCAGATTTAACGTAGCAGATTTTTCTTTAACTTTTTTGATTCTATATTGGTCTCTTTTGTCTTAAAAATCTTGGTTCCTAATAAAATTAACATACTTGCCTTATCCTACTATGTATACTTAAAATCATTTCAAAATTATCATACCAATATCATTACTAACAATAAACTGAGTAAAGTTTAAGGTTTCTTTGCATCTATTTTTGTCCTTAGAATATATTACATGAAGGCTGTATAATCAGAGTACTTACTGTGTTCAGAAGTCACTTGAAGTACTTTCCTCTGTTTGGTTATACTGCCAATTTGATATGGTTAATTGGTTTTTTGTTTTGTTTTGTTTTGTTTTGTTTTTGCTGTACGCGGGCCTCTCACCACTGCGGTCTCTACTGCTGCCGCGGAGCACAGGCTCCAGACGCGCAGGCCCAGCAGCCATGGGTCACGGGCCCAGCCGCTCCGCGGCATGTGGGATCCTCCCAGATCGGGGCACGAACTCGCGTCCCCTGCATCGGCAGGCGGACTCTCAACCACTGCGCCACCAGGGAAGCCCTGGTTTCATTTTTTATCTTAAGGTTTTCTTTTTTAAACTTTATTTTTTTTCAGAAAGAAACAACTTTTTATTGAAGTGTAGTTGATTTACAATGTTGTGTTTCAGGTGTACAGCAAAGTGATTCAGATATACATACATTCTTTTTCAGATTCTTTTCCTTTATAGGTTATTATAAGATACTGAATATAGTTCCCTGTGCCATAGGTCCTTGTTTATTTTATATTTAGTAATGTGTATCTGTTAATCCCAAACCCCTAATTTTTCATCCCCCCTTCCCCCTTTGGTAAACTTTGGTTAACCTTTGGTAAGTTTGTTTTCTTTGTGAGTCTGTATTTTGTAAATAAATTTGTATCACTTTTTTAGATTCCACATATAAGTGATATCATGTGATATTTGTCTTTGTCTGACTTACTTCACTTAGTTAGATAATCTCTAGGTCCGTATATGTTGCTGCAAATGGCATTATTGTTTTTTATGGCTGAGTAATATTCCAGTGTCTGGAGGGGTGTGTGTGTGTGTGTGTGTGTGTTTGTATACACACATACTACATCTCTTTATCCATTCATCTGTCAGTGGACATTTAGGTTGCTTCCATGTCCTGGCTATTGTAAACAGTGCTGCAGTGAACATTGCGGTCCATGACTCTTTTTGAATTACGGTTTTCTCAGGGTATATGCCCAGGTGTGGGATTGCAGGATCATATGTTAGCTCTATTTTTAGTTTTTTAAGGAACCTCTATACTGTTCTTCACAGTGGCTGCACTAGTTTATGTTCCCACCAACAGTGTAAAAGGGCTCCCTTTTAAACTTTTATGTTTGAGTATATAAAATATATACAAGGTTCAAAAGTCAAAATAATATTTTAAAAGTATGCTTAAAGAAGACTCACCCAAATTAGTTTTTAAGATGAAGTGTTCTTTAACTTCGTCAACCTTTTAATATCTAATCTCATAAATCTTGACTGCAGTGGGCAAAGTATGTTACTTATGTGAAGCGATATAGGAGTACTTTTAAATTTTGCAATTCAATTCCGATTCCTCTGGCAAAGAGAAAGCACTAGACTAATCTTCAGAGGTGAGCAGAGAAGTAGATTTCAAGCTTGTTTTTTTTTGTTTGTTTTTGGTTTTGTTTTTTGTTGTAGTCGGGCCTCACTGCTGTGGCCTCTCCCGTTGCGGAGCACAGG